AACTAATTTGTTACCAAATTGATCGACAGCATTTTTGTCAAATTCTCAACTTTTATTTTTTGCAATTCACGAAATATTCTTACCGAAAAAATAAGTTTGTAGATGTGTCTTATTTTCTCTATCTATTTTTTTTTAATTTTTGACTGATGTAACGGAGACTTAAGCAGGGAAAAAAAAAGGAATAACAATTAAAAATATATACGTATAATGATTCATTTCGCAAAATACTCGTTCACCTTTTTATAATACTTATAAAAAACAATGTATTCTGCAAGAAACAATATTTTGACAAAAAGGCTGCTTCCTTTTTTTTTCATCTTTTTTGGCTATTACATTCTGACTTCTTTTCTCTCTCTTTTATTTTTCCATTTATTTGTAAAGAAGAAGAAAGAAAAAGACGAAAGAAAGAAGAAAATTTCATGTTTTGATAGATATTTAAACATTTTTCGTAACCATTAGACAGTTTTTCTTGCCTATTATATAGTAAAATCGTAGTTGGTATTTTCTTGAAGCCTTTTTCTGCTTTTTTTTTTCGTATAGGAGGTCATCGGTTACATAACCACCGAATAGATGGGAAAAAACAACGATAAAAAACGCTAGCAGCAAAAACAGAATTTCCCGGTTCCTTCTTTAACACTGCGCCACCTTCTTCTAAACGTTGGCTAACGTCTAAAACTATCTTTTCATTCATTCACCTGCATCTCCCTTCCCTTCCCCGTTAGCTATAGTTTCAAAGGTCTTCTCCTCTTGCTCTTTTTTCGTGCTTTTTTTCCTTTATACAGAACATGTTCTAGTTGCTCTCTGATCCTTATTACAAATTCACTTTGCTTGACTAGCCTGAGAGAAAAGTAATTTGTATCTAACAATAACATCGGACAAAAAAAAATTATATGTCCATTGTTATCGAAATAATTGGAGATAAGTATCTGGCGGTATTGTGATTAATCACTTACCTTCGTCACGTAACAAATATTCAATTGTCATCAATTAAAGCCAAAATTCTGTCTGTAGGAGCATGTTGCTGTTTTTAATCTTACTCGTGACAGTCTCTATCATCGGTACAAGTTCGCCATTAGGCATTGGACATGTTTCCAATCTTCGTCTGTACAAGATGTCTGATGTTTGACCAACTGTTTTAGCACATGAAACTGCTCACCGAGTTATCTTTCTTGCCTCGATTTTTTCAAGGTAAAAAAAAAACTGCTGCTCTCTCAAAAGTTTGGGGCAGATATGTACTAAATCGATGATTGCTGCTAACTTTTTTTGGAAAATTTACCTGAAAAAAATTGCTTTTTACTATGATGGCTTAGTTAGCATAAATGAAATTTTAACACGTTTTCACCTATTTGACTCAATGAGGTTTATATTTGCGCGCGTATAAGTGTATGTTTATCACTAACCTGGCTCAAGTTCAGTAATAACGAAGCACAGAGAATATTGGTTAATAAATACTGATGGAAGATCAGTGACAATTACTTTCATGTGCCATTTATAGCTAGCAAGTGAGTAACGTGGTTTATTCAGTAAGCAGAAAGACGAAAACAAATGCTAAAATAAATAACAGATAAATACCAACTTCATAAACAAGATTCAAAATGCTTCGAGTGTTAAAATTCAACAATCATCTTATCCTTAACTTGTGAAAACAGTAACAACTAGCGGGAGGTCTACAACTTCAACTTGAAACCTCCTATCACATTAATGGTGCTTTTATCAACAACCACTTCTTTAATTAAGCGGCTTCTAATTTAGCAATTCTCACACTATCTTGGTTTTCTTTAACCCGTCTTCTATACACTAAAAGGAGTCTTCTACGCACTAAAAAAAGCCAAAAAGCAGACCAGATCGCAATATTGGTGATATATTGTCTTTTATTTTTTCTAAACAGTGTTATGCAAATAAAGTAAGCAGCTAATAGACTTCAGTTTTGATTAACTTGAAAAGTTTATCATTGGAAACGTAAATAAAGAAAACTTGCGACATCATTATCGAATTATGTCAGGTTTAGAAAAAAGAAAAATTATTTTGTTAAATTGTTTTCAAGCGATTGACGACAGTTATCTGAGTGCAATATTACCAACGACATATGAACTTTCTAGCAGCTTAAAATATGCGCCACACAGTTAACGCGTGATAGCTATAAATGACAAAGATTTCGTCTTTTTAGGCTGTTAAAAAATTTGCTTGTCAATCCACTTAATAAAACTCAAAAAAATTTATGTAGACTAGTGAAAAACTATAAGTCACCTAAAAGTCATCAAAACGGCATGTTTACTTCCAAGCTTTTCTGCATAAAAACTTTCTAAATTTTTCTCACTTACCAAAAAAATTACGACTTTTATAGTTTTCGCTGAAAAAATTTATAATCTCAGTTATTGGTAATTACCGTCGTTAACACGTTAATAAAAAAACTGCTTCAAGTTTCCCGGTTCTCTTTTTATGAACTATTATTGGCATCTTATTGCTTTTTTTCATTCAAAATCTGTTGCTTAATTTTTATGTGTTCAACAGCAGTTCTGACAATTTTTGCTATTTGCCATTCTCCTTCCCAAATGAACCAAATGAAAAAATTGCCATCATCAAAAATAAAAATAAAAAAAAAAAAACAAATACATCAAACGGTTAGTTGACGTTGAAAAAATATGCTCTTTGGCTGTATACTACTTTTTTTGTGGTCTCATAAAAAAAAAAAAAAAAGAATAATTTTTTTTTACTTGACTAAAGTACTTACTAATTTTCTTTTTTTTTTTTTTGATGAAAATGGAGTGTAGTTTCTCTAATGATTTCCATTTGAAGACTTTCGCTCAGAAGAATAGTTGAAACGAAAGTCTAATGAATGCTGCAATAGCAGCACCAGAAGTAAAAATGTTTGGGATACTACTTCGCTGAGTGTATCTTTTTTACGTAATCCAAGTTTCACACTAAATTCGGCTATGCTTTTTAGCTTCTCAAATGCCTTTCTTCCCATCTCTATTTGTTACATTTTTCACGTCTTCTGCTAGTATACTTATAAATAACTGTTAAAAATAACTTTCTTTCTATTCACTTCGTGACCGTTCTAAAGCTATTTGGAGAAAATACTTTTCTTTTACCTCAGATTGTAACAACAGAAATGAGTAAAAGATACAGTATGATTACTAAACATTAACGCGTCATCTGACCGATAGAATGGTTCTAGAGACAAAAAAGTGAGCTTTTAACGGAAATTTTTATAATGTGAATTGATGAATTTTGCAATTCTGTGACTATATTTTGAAAAGTATTCGACTTATGGCTCTACGGTATTCTTTCAAAGTATGAACAGTTAAATGGCGGGCGGTACACTTTACTAAGGATACCGAGAAGCTAGATGAAAAGGAAAAAAGTTCTGATGCTTTAGTACCAGCTACAAAAAAAGTACTTTCCAAAAAAACTTTTCTCCAACGACTGGTGTTGTTGCGATGAATGCAGACCGTTCTGCTATTTACAATCACCAACGGGTAACAAAACCATTGTATTAAGTGGATTCCTACAACATGCAAATGTTGCTGCTGTGTGCAGCCACTTTTCAACGAGCAGTTAAGGGTCTGTAGTTTTGTGTGGTTTTCTACTTAACTGCTCGGTTGCATCTTGTTGACTTTTGTGCAGTTTTAAACGAGTCCATCAGAATTTATGCACTCCGAACCGCTTCAACTGTCATCTACGCCTTGCCCTAACCAAATGCCAACGTTATCCAGTTATCGTACCCTTCACATTACTGGTACCACAGTGTGGCCAACAACAACTGCACCAGCAGTGACCACAACGTCAATATCAGGAGAAGCAGCACTATCAGCACCATCACCAACAACAGTTATAAAAAGACCGGCCAGAAAACAAAATGAGAAACCTCGTAATCAACGCGATAGTAAAATTGAACGGTTCAGTGCGGCTTAAGTTCTAGCTTTATGAGTTTATCAGCTAACAATTTATTCCTTCAGATATTTTAAAGAAGTTTTCTTCTTTTTTTTGAGCAGTCAAGCATTCTTTGCTCGAGTTTTTTTGGACTGTCGATTCAGTGGTAAATTTCTTAAGTTTTCTTCAGAAATGCCAGAAAAAAAGTAATGATTAAAGTCCCAACGTTTTTTTTTTTGCATTTTCTGTCTCCTAAAATTGAGAGAAATGTATGGCAAAAAAATTAAAATGCATCAAAGAATGAAAGTCTTTCAGGAGATAACTTTTTATAAATCAAAAAAAAATTTTCTTTCGTTTAATTGTTCACCAAAAAAAATT